CTTGTTTGTTTACATCTGTGTAAAATGTATGGGCTCCAGATATGGGTGTTTCCCTTATAACGTGATTTAGAATCCAATCAACTCCCTCTATAAGTTGAATTCTATCACTTTTGGGATATTTGCTGTTAATATCTCCAAAAAAATTACTGAAAGATCTTTACCAAGGTTCACTTTCTGCCCATAATTTGTCAATGTCCTCCTTAATTAAAGGTACTATAATTTATGCTGGGTCTGTTCCTAATTGATGAGTCAATTTTCCTTTTAAAATAAAGTCAGAGATGTTTTACACATAAGTTTTTAATTTTTTTTACTCTATTTATTTTGGTAAAAATATCCATTCTAATATAATATCTTCCCTTTGCATTAAAATTCATGTAAGATAATTCTTCAAACATAAAATAATCAAAGTATAGTCAAGCTTTGGATTCCCATTTTGCACATGTCCTTCTTGTACTTTTCTTTCCACCAAGGCCAATTTTCTCTCAGTTTTAGCTGATAATTCTCTTGTACTATTTAAATCTTTGTCACCTTCTAAGGTTTTGAACAAATTACTCAGTTCATCATTTTTTACCCCAACAGCAGTTCATAGATGGGAAATGTCTGAGAATAATCTTTGAAAGTCATTAAGTGTATATAATTGATCGATCTCTCCTAATTTGCACCTTTTGGGGTCTAAATTTTTGTAGACCTATTTTATATAATAAATAATTAATAGAATCTCCTCTTTGTATTTTTTCAAGAGCAATTAGTAATCCCCAACAAGGCAAATTTTTCTTTACTTATTCAAACATTCTTTCTAAGGTATCTGCATTTGAATCAGCTAGTAAATTATCATCCATGTAATGATAAATTATAGATTTAGGAAATTTTTTACACGTTACTTCCAATAGCTGTCATACAAAATATTGGCACAGGGTTGGGCTATTAACATTCCCTTTGGGAGAACCCTCCATTGATATCTCATAACTGCCTGAAAATTATTGTAAGTAGGCACTGTGAAAACAAATCATTCTCTGTCTTTTTCTTGTGAAGAGACTGAGAAGAAACAGTCTTTTAAATTGATAAGTATAAGAGGCCATCCTTTAGGTAACATATCAGGCAAAGGAACTCCAGATTGTAGAGAGCCCATTGGAGAATTACTTTGTTAATTTCTCTAAGGTCTGTTACCATTGTCCATTTACCAGATTTCTTGTTAATAACAAACACAGAAGAATCCCAAGGGCTGGTTGATTCTTCAATATACTGAGCATTTAACTGCTCTTGTACCAGCTCTTCTAAACCCTACAGTTTCTCTGTTGCTAAAGGCAATTGCTGAACCCATATAGCCTGGTCTGTTAACCATTTTAAAGGTAGAGCTGTTGGTGTCTTTGAAAGATTATCAGTTGTTGTGCCTTATTCTTATACAATCTGGATGGCCAGTGACTGCTCTTTACAATATCTCCTAATATTTCTCTCAGAAACATGTGTTAGTATATGATTTGTTTCTGAGGTTGGAGGGATGTTAATATGAGTATTCAATTGTTGTAATAGATCACATCCCAATAAATTCATAGCTATATTAGACACATATGGCTTTAATTTTCCTCTCTATCCTTCTGACCCTATCCATTTGAGCCATCTTGTACTTTGTTTTACTTGAGATAATGTTCCAGTCCCTAACAGCTGACCATTTACCTCCTGAAGATGCCAATTTGGATGCCAAAATTCTGATGCAATTATTGTGATGTCAGCATCCATGTCTAAAAGACCTTCCAAGAGAATGTCATTTATTAAAATTTTTATTTTGATCTTTGATCATTATGTTGATATTTTATTTGTACTGAAATGTGATTTTATTTGTATGTTAATAAATAAAGTTGCCTGGGGGTCAGAACTAATAGCAAGGCATAGCAGAAGCCAGGTGGTGGTGGCACACACCTTTAATCCAGATCACATGACAGACAGATTTCTGTATGTTCAAAGATACAGTCAGCATGGAGACACACGCCTTTAATCTCAATACCAACCATAGAAGACCTGGAGGTCTGTATAGACAGGCAGTGATGGGGAGGTCATGTGGTTGTCTTTACAACCAATGAGAAGACAGAACAGAAAGTCAATAAAAAGACACAGGAAGTAGGTCTCTTGCTGAGGGGAAAGACAGCAGCAGCAGGAAGGGTAAGAAAGATGGTTTTAAGTCTCAGCTCTCAGCTACTGCTCTGACCTCTTTGGCTTTTAACTCTGTATTTGGCTCTGTGTTTCTTATTTAATAAGATGGCTACATCTACAGATCATTTATAGAAGTTTGCCAAAAAATTCACTGTATGATTTCTTCTGATTTTCCTGTTCTCTCTGCTATAGCTGTTCTATCACCTTAAGGAGTCTGGTCTATTCCAATAGGCATTTGGTTATTTAATTGCTCTGAGAGGGGTTTCTTCAATGATAGCAGGAAGGGACTGAACTTAATTTGCCATGGGGTCCTGTGAGAGATCCCTCAGGGAGTTTCCTGATGTCAGAGGCAAATGATTACCTTGTCTGTCCCTTGTTGATCCACATCCATTGGTCCAATGGTTACCTTTACCACACCTTCTGTATAATCCTGAAGGAAGGGGCATTCTGTTGCCATTGTTCCTTGAATAAACATTGTTTCTAGGAATGCTGGTTACAGTACCTTTTCAGAAGACCTTGTTTACCACAATTAAACCATCTGACATTAGTATTTTTCCTCAAAGCTCTTGATATAACCTGTCCTATCCACATATCATCATGGTCATGAGACTCAATATTAATTGTGTCCCTGATCCAATCCTCCATGTGTGCTGATCTTGCCTTTAGCATCCTGATTACCCTCTTACATGCTGTGTTTACATTCTCAAAAGTCAAAGATTCAATTATTATCTGTCTTGGCTCTGAATTTGATATCATTCTATTTATTGCTAAACATAGCCTTTGTAAGAAATCTGTAAAGGATTCTTTGGGGCTTTGTACAACTTTTGTAAATGACTCAATTTTTTTCCTGCTTCCTCAGTTCTGTTCCATGCATTCATGGCTGCCATGTGGCATAGAATTAGGGTTTAGTTACCATATAAACATTTTCTTTGTATATCCGTATAATCACCTTCTCCAAGAAGCTGATCCTGGGGAATTTCCACACCTCCAGTCCTACATCATTGTTCTATATTTTTAGCCTCCTCTTTCCTCTGTGTTCTCCACTGTAACTGTAGACTGGCATCTAGCACTGCTGTAATTAATTCATTCCAGTCCTGAGGGATAATTCTATTAGAAGTTGACTCTGAGTCTATCATCTGCTTTACAAATGGAGAATACATACCATATGATACTATATCTTCTTTAAATCTAACATTTCCACTGGAATCCGGTTAGCTCATACATATCCTTGAGCATTTGGCACTTCCTGTAAGATTACTGGGTAGATTAATGTCTGCTTCCTGGTAATCTGAGGCTGTTTCTCTGTAACTGTATAATTCAATCCTGAGATAATGTCACATTTAAATTCTTCAGTCTGGGTCTTATTTCTCTATAATTCATTTTAACAGGTTTTTCTAAAATCAGTCCTGAGATAGGTTCAGTTTTAAATTCTCCTGTCTGGGTCTGAATTTCTACATAATTCTTTTAACAAATTTTTCTAAAGCTTTTATCTTGGCACTCAAATTTACCAATGTTTTGAATGCTAAAATAAAAATGATCAAACAAATAATATTTGTAATTGATGTTACATACATCCCATCAATACTAATTAACCTCTCATTTAATTGTTTCATTTTCAGACTGCCTAATGTGTTATCCAGCAGAGACCAAATTTCTTCCATTGTAAAAATGTTTCCCATTTTTTTAATGTCAGAAAAAAAATTTCTTTTAGCTAATTTCTCCCTTTAATATATCTTAATTGACTTACCAAGTCTGTCAGCTGCATAGAACAGTAGAAGTCTGAGAGAATTTCAAAGCTAGTGTGATAGCAGTCTGAGGTGGGAATCCAGAGATAGCCCACCACCCAGTAAGAGAGAAAAAACCAAAGAGATCCAGCCATATGAAGCTCCAGCTTGAGTCATGGGGCCTGTAAGGCTACAAGTGTCTTTTTAGTGAATTCTTGCCATGTTGGAGTGCCAATTGTAGACGAATTTCTAAGTGGTCTTATTATATAAAAAACATGGAGCCAGACATAGGAGTGAAAACCTGAGAGATCCAGGAAATAAGGGAAGGCCACAGCTAACCTCAACTCACCAGAGTTATATACTTGCACTCCTAATAATTTGTACCATCACATTTATTGCTTTTTTATTTAACATCTGTCATTGAGACAGTCTTTGGATATAATATTTGCTCCAAATCACCAAAACAGCTTGTCATCTATTTATCTTTGAGGTGAGCTCACATTGTATCATTAGTATTTTCCCTTTAGATAAATCCTATGTCATCTTCTTAGCTCTCTAATGTCTTCTGGCAGCAAGTGTCAGAATTAATTCTACAATACTGGAAGTAACTGCCTTTATTATTCCAGTACATACTTACAACTCTCAAATTGGGATGCAAGGAACTTAAGACATTCTTTTCAGAATCATTGCCAAAGCCAAGGATTCAATGCATTTCCACTGCTGAGTGACAGTACATTGGCATTCATTCCTCCATCAGACTAGATACCAACATCATTATAAACATTATTTCATTTCAGTGTCCAGACAGCTTTGGAAGGAACTCAGGGGTTCTGTGTCAGGATATTTTGCAATCACAAAGTAGTATTGTGTGTTGAGAACTTTATTCCTTTGTTAGTAAGAACTGAAACTAGAGTCCCTTCTGGTAGATGGTCATCAGTAGTTGCAAAAGGAAATTGTGTGAGGTGTGGAATTTGAAATTTGTTTGTAGTGACCATTCTGAATTAGATAAATGACACTATAAAATTCCACATGTATTATGGAATCAACACATTATATTAAGCAGCATTGGTATTGCATTTGCTCTGCTGAATATGTATGCCAGCCTGTGTAACTCCAGGTTTTCATCAGGACAGTGACTTGCTGGATCAGCGGAAACATTGCTTTACTATGCAGTCTGAATGTGGGGAGGATCTATACTTCTCTGTGGAGTTAGAAAGTGACCTTGCCCAATGGGAACGAGCCTTCCAAACAGCCACCTTCTTAGAAGTGGAGCGGATACAGGTAAGAGCCTGTGGAGTACAGTGTGTGTGTGGTACCTGGGGAAATATAACCACTCACTGAAGTTTGCAAAGTACAATGTGCACAGTTCTTTGAGTTTTCCCTCCATCTCAAATGCATCCAACATTTGGCTGTTTTTGAAAACAGTGAATAGGCATGTCTGAATAATCATTGAAGTTTTTCTCATAATTTTACCTTAGTAGGCTACTTCCTATTAAATATTTCTATAATTTGAATCTTATATAGAAAATACTCTGGCTGTAGTTATTAGTGAGATTGTTTCCACGTCTGTAGATTTGGCCACTTGGCTTCTAGATGCCTCCCCTTCATCTGTGACTTGCATAATAATTTATAGTATGTGAGGCTTTCTTCAAGGTTTACTTATTGGTGAAATTATTAAGGCCACTCCACATAGTTAAAAGGAGGTTTATTTTGTGGAGGACCTACAAGTGAAGGGATAGTTTACAGGGTCTGGGAAAGGTGTGGCATAGTCTGGTGGTGTTCTCTGGAGAACTCTGCTCGCTCTACCTCCAGCATCCAGGATCCAGGAACCAAGAGAGCCCATGCATCTGGATCTCAGGTCTTCAGCGTCCTCTCTCAGCCCCACCGTGTAGGCCTGACTGTTACTGAAGCCTCAATGGAGGTTGGAACTTCCAGATCAAAGCTGGAATGGCTACCCACTACAGTTACTTGATCCGTGGGCAGCCTCATCATTTCTAAGGCTGCCTAACAGATCCTTTCATAGCAACTCTCCCTTCTTCCACTGTAACAAAAATACCACTTTATTTCACTGTTTTCTTCAGCTGGCTCACATCATAACATTGAAAAAGCTTGTCATAGGTTGCTTATTTTATTCCTCTATGAGTTGAAGTCTAACACATTTTGTGAATCACAAGTGTCTAGCCAGTATTTACTGAACCGTATATATTTCTCCAGTATGAAGACATATCTAGATCAAACTTCATAAATCTTTTAACCTCTCATGGGAACCTGAAATGAGACACCTCACAGAATTGGTTTTCTGTTTAACCTGGAGCAAGACACAGCAAAATTCAAAGTTGACTAGGTTCTTGCCCCTTGCGATAAATTCATAGATCTAGGACCAACACACATGGACACTTATTTTTAAACTTGTATGATGACAGAAATGAAAGGAACATATCTGGATTCTGTTTAATTTTTGGGTTGTCTCATATTTCATAATTTATCTTTGTTAACTATACTAGAAATCTGTAAAAAGTTGAAAGTTGAAAAATTTAGATTTTTTATTTTCATATTTGACATTGTGAATATACTGACAGAAAAAAATATTGTTTAATTTTTATAGAATGACTATCTCAGTTTCATTCAAGTTGGTAAAAAATAAAGATATGAACCTGGCAGTATATACCTATAATCCCAACAATTGGGAGGTAAAGGCAGATAAAAAAAAAAGTTGAATGTCATCCTCAACTACATCGAATTTGAATCCAGTCTGTGCTACATGAGACCCTGTAGTAACATAGCAAAATACAATAAATAAGAAAACATGACCTAATAAAAAATAGGCATAAAAGGAGAAAAGTAATAACTTGATTAAAGCTATTGAAGAAGTCATGAATAAAAATGTTTTTATTTTGAAATAGATTTGAATTAAAAGGACTGCATAGTAATATTTTCTATCTTAAATTATATTTACTTGCTTATTTATATTTTGTTTTGAACCTGTAATAAACTTAGTATAAATACTAGTATATTTAGTAAAAAGGATGATGCATAAAAACACACATATTTAGTACATTCCATTTTATCATTTTAATTTAATATTAAACTTTAGAAAATGTAGTGAATATTGAAACATAAAAGTCACAACTTACATAAATAAAATGCTATATTTCCTAACTTAAAAGAAATAATATAAAGTAAACTTCATTTAGCCTAACTTTACTGGCTTTATAATTTTACCAGGGTCAGTGAATTTTGGCAGTAAAGGACACATTTGTTCCATAACTATATGCTAACCCAATTCAACAATTACCTCTTTTAATATGATGTTTTAGAGAGTATATTAACTTCAAAAAGTTATTATACTTACTTAAAATTACTTTGGATTAATTCCATATATGTCTTTACCTGGTGATAGAAATTTATGTCCAGAAGGTCTTTAAAATATTTATTCTATGTATATTTTACCTATAGATGCTGTATAATACATAATTATGCAAAAAACCTTGTCAAGTGATTCATGTTTGAGCTTCCATAAAAGAATAATTTTTATCACTTTTTCACACTAAAAGAACATTTCATTACATACATGTAGCAATTAAACAATAAACAAGCATTTTTTATTTAAATGTATCAAATCCACTCATTATATTTTTTTTTTTTTTTTTGGTTTTTTGAGACAGGGTTTCTCTGTGTAGCTTTGCGCCTTTCCTGGGACTCACTTGGTAGCCCAGGCTGGCCTCGAACTCACAGAGATCCACCTGGCTCTGCCTCCCAAGTGCTGGGATTAAAGGCGTGCGCCACCACCGCCCGGCTTATTTTTTGACATTTTAAGTTATGCAGTAAAATTTTAGTGGATCTCAACTTAATATCATTTATTTGTTTCCATTTAATGACTATTGAAACAATGTAATTTAATTTGGAATGTTGAACTTTATGAGAAAATTCTAATGCACTCTAACAAATGCAATTTCACCTGGAATCTTCCTTTTAATGATGGTACGAAGAAATAAACAATTACACTTAAAAAAAAAGTAAACACTGTAGCTTTGAATATTCCTTAATGTTGATAGTAGTTTTAATAAATTACTATTGACTGAATCCATCTATCTAATATGTCCATGTATTAAGGAAATACAATAATACTCAAGCACATACTTTTAGACCCATTTAGTATGTCTCCTAATCTACGATTTAAACTCCAAATAAACATTTGTTGTAGTTATAAGTTTTTAATGCAAATTAGGTTTTAATCATATGTATGGGTATTTGTGATAGGCAATATATTTTAAATAAACACAATACAAATATAAGCATTAGTGTTTGAAAAATGCTGAAGGAAATAGCTCCCCCTTATGTTAATTATGATAATAGTCCATCTAATATAGCAATTTAGCTTGAAATGAAATTTAAGTAAAACTAGAAAACTAGATATAAAAATGCTTCATGTTGTGTATGAGGCCCAAGTTATTTCTTTTCTGATTTATGTCCCTTTTATATTTTAGTATCTATATTTACTCATCTTCCCAAAATATTTACAAGTAAATTTATAATGCTGAGAATCAAACATAGGGCCATATTCATGTTAGGAATGTATTATACTACTGAACCTCACTCAGGCAGATATTAAGTATTACATGCATAGGGAGAAGATGTTATCTTCCCCTTGATAGTGAGGTTATATCAATCACATGGAAACTAACAGTAATATCTGTTTTTTCAGTGCAAGACCTATGCATGTGTGCTAGAGAGTCACCTAATGGGTCTCACTATTGACTTCAGCACAGGCTTCATCTGCTATGATGCAGCAACAAAGGTAATATGTTCCAGGAGGCAGGAGAAATAGGTTGGCAACATTACCAATCGAAAGTGAATAAAAAGCCTTTGAATTTATTGAAGAATGTAAAATAATTATATGTTGGATGTAAGATCTTCATTTTCATTCATGGAACATAAATTACATTTTAATGTGTTTCTCCCAAATAAAATTTGAATTTTCATAGTTAATATACTGAAGTAAATATAAATCATTCTGTCCTTATATGCATAGAAATACAGAAAGATATTATTGATAAGTTATATATAGGTAGAAGGAATATCTATAATATGTCAATATATGATAGATAGATGGTAGGTAATAGATGGATAAAAGATACGTGATAGAAAGATGTATAATAGATACTTTCTGAAAAATATAGCTTCGTAATTATAACATTTTCTTCCTTTATAAATTATTTTTAAGAGTTCCTATATGACTTTTCTGAATTAAATCTAGATGATGAATATAAGGACAACATGTTTTTGATTTTTATAGTTAATGTCTCAGAATTAGGTACAGAATGGTTCAATTTGAGTGTTTGGAAATTCTAGCAAGTGTCTGTTATAAACACATGACTTAACCTGAATGCTGTATATTGTGATAGCTTTCACATTTCAAAAAACATTTATGCCCACTGGATGAGGAATGTACTTTTTTTTTTTTGGTTTTTCAAGACAGGGTTTCTCTGTGCAGCTTTGTGCCTTTCCTAGAACTCACTTGGTAGCCCAGGCTGGCCTTGAACTCACAGAGATCTGCCTGGCTCTGCCTCCTGAGTGCTGGGATTAAAGGTGTGCACCACCACCGCCCGACAAGGAATGTACTTTTCTTAGCAATAAAAGCCATAAGAATTATCAATTTTGGTGATTATGGGGTAACATGTTATAAAGCTAAAGTATTCCACATTTTATTATCAGTTGGAAGTAATCTTCCAACTCTTCTGGTTCCCATCTCCTAGCTCATGATACAGCATCTGCATTGGGCTTCAATTTGCATGAAGGTGTCTTGCCACCCTCTCCTTTATCAAAAGATTGTCTAGCATGGCTTAAATTGAAACATTGCCTCCCACTAGTTTTATTGATTAATGAATAATCTGTTATTAATCTTCTCTCAAATTAATGTGTGCACAAGGGTTTCAAAGAAAATCTCTAAAAATAAGACAGTGACACCTATGGGTGAGGAAAGTAGCATATAGATTGTTTAGGAATGAAGCCAATTGAATAATGTGCTGAGCTGATCACGTGAGCAGGACACCAAGCATATGCATAGAGAAATTACGATGGTTCGATATCTATCACCTGTGATAGTCATTTAGTAAGTTCCTACTACCTATGGATTGCTAGTGATAGCCTGGTTTTCACAGTAAAATCCAATATTACACACTAGAAGAACAATATTCTGTCACTTAATTTGTGGTCTCTGTGTGACACTTAAAGGATACTCAGTAATTAAGATTCCTAGATGTAGCTAGCCTTCTGATATTTTTAGTTCCATGTAGGCACCAGTTCTACTTCTCAATGTTCAATGAGTTGTGTGGGTAGTGTCTTTAGCAATGGGGCCTTGCAGTCAGTTTGTGAAGAGCAACCTATTTTCTTGGCAATAGCCTAAGTTGTTTAGTGATTTCTGTGTGGCCTCTTCGGCCAACAACTCAATTGGGTGTAACTCAATCCCAGTACTGGAAGCTTTGTTTGGTGACAAGAAATGGACTGTTGGGGCTCTGTCTTACTTGTTTAGAAACTTCATTAGGATGCTTTCATACATTTTAGGAAGTTTCCCTACTGCTCCACTAATGGCCCTCAGTTCTAGCTCTCTCTATTCACATTCTCTCTGTCAACCCCATCTGCCCTCCCACACTTTACCTAATCCTTCCATTTATGTACCACTTCCAGTCCCCATTCTCTCATAAAATTTATTGCATTTTTCCCTCCCAGGGAGATCTACATCTCCTGACCCCATTCCTTTCCTGTATGTCTAACTTCTTTGCGTCTACAGATTGTAACTTTGTTATTATTTATTAAATGGCTAATATTCATGTGTAAATGAATAGATACCATATTTATCTCTCTGGGTCTGGGTTACCTTCTAAAGATGATGTTACCTAATTCCATTCATTTGCCCACAAATTTCATGATGTTGTGTTTTTAGAGAGCTGAGTAATACTCTATTGTGTAAATGTACTCCATTTTCTTCATCCATTCTTCTGTTGGGGGATATCTAGGGTGTTTACAATTTCTGGCTATAATTAATAGAGGAGCAATAAAAATGATTGAGCAAGTGTCCTTCTTGTGGTATAATGACATATCCTTTGGGTATTTGCCCAAGAGCAATGTAGCTGGATCTTTGAAGTAGATTGATTTCCATCCTTCTGAGGAAGCGCCATACTGATTTCCTTAGTGGCTGTACAAGTTTGCATTCCCACCAGCAGTGTAAGAGTGTTTTCCTTGATCCACAGTGGATTATTTTTCAACTAAAGTGCACTGAACAAACAATATTCTTTACATATTCTTAATACACACACACACACACACATACACATACACACACACACACACACTTTGGATAGAAACAAATATTTTCTCAATCTTGTTTATGTACTCTTAGGTGTACCCTTGAAACTTTTACTGAACTTGTTTTCTCAGGACCAATATTAGATAATCATAGAGTAGAGATATTTTTACCAGGAACATTTTTCATTTTGCTTGGAATGGAATAGTCTTATCTCAGTGAAGAATTTCTTTAAGTTATGTCTTTGAGAAACATGGGAGTCACCTGATATATATGTAAAAGAACAGATTGAATATTAAAATATAGGCTTTGAAGAATTCATTTAAATTTATATATTAATATTGGAACATATTACTAAATAAGATTAACTTTTATATATTAATTATGTAATTTCTTGACTTGAATGCAGACATTAACTTTGTTGATTTACATTTTCCTTTCTGTCTCCCTTTAGGCTGTACTATGGAGGTATAAATTTTCTCAACTTAAAGGCTCCTCAGATGATGGCAAAAGCAAAATCAAATTTTTGTTTCAGAATCCAGATACTAAACAAATTGAAGCAAAGGTAAACACAAGAAACCCATTGAATTTCCAATTACATCAGTGTCTTGAAGATGCAATGAGGAGAAAGTTTAGGACCAATAAGTACAAATGTTCTTTGTCTACCTTGAAATATTGCTCTGACCCTAGAGTACTTTTACTTTAATTCTCTAGTGACAGATTTTCACTGAAAGGCATCACTCCAGAAAAATTATATTTGACTGCTTCTGGGTCTTAGTTTTACTCTGGTATGAACCAAAATTATGTGAGAATAAAACAGTATGCTAAGACCTGAAGGAGACATATGGCTGTTTTTTCATTAAAAAAATACTTTGATAAAACTAGCTGGTTCATAGTAATCCATCAAACCTTAAATGTAAGTATAAATTCCCAAAGAAAATGTTTTTAAGCAAATACTGAATAATTGCTAAGTAATTATGTTTTAAAGAAGATTAATTAGTCAATGACTTTTCACATTGCTTTATATAAGTCATAGTAATCTGGAATATGATAGCTATGTTGTTAGTTCAATAGAAAGTTTAAACAATTTTATATATATAATTATTTATAATTGCAAAAATTCAAAATTTAACTTATTTCCTTTACCGTATAATGAAATTGACAGTAAGATTGTTTGAGTTAAAATAAATCATAAAAATATTGTTTCTCTGGGGGAAGAAATTGAAAATTTAATCCCGTGACGTGGAAACCCAAAGTATTTTTTCTTCTATGAAGTCAAATTACCTCAATTTATTTCTGAAATCATTTCCCTAAGTTCAGGTTGAGTCTTAGACTGAATTTCAAAGCCTTCCCAAGCATAGCTCTGTGTGATGTTCTATGCAGTTGCTTACCACACTATTCTACTTTCTGACCAGAAGCATTCCTTTTAACAAGGTGATAACAAAGGCCCTGCTTTGTCCTGTATGTCTGCCTATGCCCTTTTTCTACCTTTCTTTTCTTATGTCTGCATCCTTCTTGAGAAGTCTCTCCTACATTTATATCTGTCTTTGCTGAAGTAGAAGCTGTGGTCCTAGCTTTCATGTGCTTATTCCTTCTCTTTCGTATTTCTAATGCATGGGTGTAGCCATATTCTCACCTTGCCTTTGTATCCCATCAGGTTAGAAAAGTGTCTTTTCACTGCCTTCTCATGTAGTTTGCAGTTTCTGGACCTTCACTCTGATGTGGTGTCCTACCTCCACAGCCCTTGCCTTTGTTATTTGCCCTCTCTTTTCTCCCTAGCTATCAATGAAGCATCATAGTGCTGGTACTTATACTGCTCTTTATGATGATTTTTGGTGTTGCTATAGGTGCATACTAATATAAACTTATTTATGATAACTCTGGATGGCTTTCTTAAGTTTTCAAAACACAGCACACATTCTAATATGGGTAATCTTGCAACGGCAGTGCAGTATTTGATTGTTAGAGATAACCTCAAAAAATATACACAACAAACACAAGGAATTTCAAAAAAGGAGAGTCACAGTGAGACATATTCAACTTTCAGGGACAGAGGAACAGCAGCGACAAATTCCCCAGGCATTTTCTGTGTATTACATCTTTCAAAAATACATTCTTGAGAACCATAAGTAAAAATAAATGCACACCAGACAGCAAAATAATTCTGTCACTGCAGAAAACTCTGATGCAGCATTTGTTCTTCACTAGCAATTATCCGAATCTACTCCTCCCACATAGACCTAGTAAAAGCCAATTGACTTGCTTCCCCACATCAAAACCATATTATTTATCCCTCTTGCTAACTGCAACATAGTAGCTTTGAGGATCCTCTCACCACTCTGCTGCCTAGTCTTACTCATATTCTTACAATACTCTGTTCCCTTTACTATTATATTACTTTATATCCAATGTATGGGCAACATTATATACAACTGCTGCCTTTCTGTTGTAAGCAGCATTTCACTCAATGTTTAAATGCTGCTCTGTCATGTGCACACACATTTCTTTATCTATGAATTGGTTGATGGACATTTACGTTTATTCAAGTCAACTGACTTGATGTCTTACTTCACTGCATGTGATACTTTGCTCTAGATGGCTTTGGTGGTCATTGGGATTTCCTTTCTTATAAGATCATATTGTCAGCAAACAACAACAAATTCATTTCTTCCTGCACTATCTGGATATCTTCATGTCTTTGTTTTGAATAAATGCTTTTGGCAGGAAGTTATGCCTGAGTATAAAATGTTATGATAGACATAGACATTGTTGCCTTAGTAATGGTCTTCATGCTTTCCACTGACCCCATTGACCAGAGTGTTAGTTGCTGCCTTGTCACCTCTTTTTTTCCATTTTGTTGAGGTATATATTCCTTTAGTAATAGATTGAGACAGCTTATTATGAATGAATGTTTGCTTTTGCCATTTTTTTCTATTCCAAATCACATATGATTGTAAGGTTTTATTTCTTACTGTGTAAAGTGAAATATCCCTACATTTCAACTTAGTCAAGGTGAATGATTGTTTCTCATGTTATTGAATTATTATTTGTAAACATGGAGGAAACATGTTTGGTTGGAGACACTGATCAATTGGCTTATATGTCATTGTATTAAAAGCTGTGAATAGTGTTTAACACTTTGTTTGTGAGAAATTTAAGAAATATTTAAGGGAATTTGTTTGGGCCTACATAGGACATGAGTGAGCTTTGTTTCTTTTGTTTTGTTTTGAGTTGTGTGTGATACATCACCATGGAAAAGTTCACTAGATTTTTTTTTCTAAAAACACAAGCTCATGCATCCTCATTTCATTACTTAAAAACATAACAAATTTCCCCAATGTTTTCAAAGCCTCTTTAAGCTTCCCAGGATCTTTTTGATAAGTCCTCAAAAAACTTACTTGGGTTTCAAGGAGTGGAATCCCTTATAATTTATTAAATTTCTGTTTTCTTTTTAAGCATATTGGAATCAAGATTGTGGTCATATTACCTGAAAATTTAATTTACAGAAAAACAGTACACTGACATAATCATATACTATCAGCACTCACAAAGACAGATAAGTCTATGGTGAATATAAGGGTATATATAGAATGAAGAACGTGTTACTGGCCCCATATGCATCACTCTCTGTGTCAATAACATGTCACAACTGTCATGTAAGGAGTGGTACAGGACTCTAACCTTCTGTATTAGATTCCATACTTCTACTTTTCCTAGGAATATGTTCTCAATAGTTGTCTGCATATTGGAGTACTCTAGCACATCATTGAAGCAATATGTACATATGAAACCTTTCATCCATGGTTTCATGTCCTATGATTTTATTAACCTATAGGCAATAGTATTCTAAAAAGCAATAGATTCCAGGAAAAAAATTCATGGATTTTAAATTGTGTACTAGCTGAGGTAGATGAGAAATTGGGGCCTGCCTGTCTTATAGCATGAATCATCATTTATAAAGGGAGTACCTATACTAAATATTCTAATCAGCCATTGGCTGTTTTTTAAGTATTTTGAAAGGTACAGCACATTTAATGAATTATTATCATTATTATTATTAAATTTTTTATATGTATAAATATATATTATAAATACATTTAAATATATATATATGAAATAAAACATTTTATTTTAGCAACTTTTGGAGGGAAGAAATTAGAAAGAGCATAAGTATACATGTATGTCCTTTGATGCAAAAGCAAAAATTAATGAATGTGATTTCTATGTGGAAAACATTGCTCTTAGACCATAATGCAGTTTTAAATTCTACAATTTTTGAAGTATAAAGGAAGGACAAGACCTTAAATTACAGTACCATCCATTTGCACACAAAAACCAAAAGAGTGTAAATGAGTATTCACAGGGTATAGAGTAATAAGCCCATTTCTTTTCACCTCTGATGAATGTAGACCCATGGGTTTATATTTGACAATCCATGTGCTCAGCTAAAGAAATCAGCCTCCTTTCCAATACAGAAGTCCCAAATAACAGGACTCTTCTGTTTTTGATTAAGAATTCCTAAAGAGGGGCTAGAAATATTGCTCCTGTAGTTAAGTGTACTCACTGCTCCTCTAGATGATGCAAGTTTCATGCTCAGCAGCCACATGATGGCTCACAATCATCTGCAAGCCCAATTTCATGGGATTGGATACCCTCTTCAGACATCTCCAGCACCATGCATACATATGGTAGAGACACATACACACACACAAAATTCCCTTATACATAAGAATAAATAAATCTTTAATTTAATTAAGTAAATCCAAATAAAAGAATTGTTAATGCTAAAAAAACTTTTATTTATGAGTCACTCTATTCTAAAAAATTACATTAATTATTTTTATGTATTAACTCACAATATTTCCCTCTGAAAATCGAGTAAGTCCTCTGAAGCTCACAGTAAATTTATGAAGGCAAAGGTGGGAACTATGGTCCTCATCGGTCTGCCCTACTCTCTGTTTCTTTGACATATAACCACCCAAAAATACTGGGCCTTCCTCACCCTGGTCAATTGTAACTATAAACAAAATACTGTGAGTCATAATCAGCACAGAGCACACTGTATACTGTTTCCCATCCTTCAGATCATTGGTCTTCATGTTTGCTGCCATCTACAGCAAGCGCTAACGCTAAGCATGTGGTGGTGTTCCATGTCTCTTCTATTAATTGTTTTTGTAAACTTACTACTTTAAGTAATTTATAAACTTAACTTTAACATATATATGTATGTATATATATGAGAAAAACAGTACTTGCTTAATTCAGACTGATTTGTGATTTTTATGGGCTTGTATAGAAATAATCTTATCATTAATTGAAAGACATATTAAATAAAAGTTGTTTTAGGAGTTTAAAATTATTTTTAATTGTTTTGTTATAGTAATAATTTTATTCAGGATAACAGTGCTTTTTGCTTCCATTTGAGTTTTTCAACACTGTTTAAGTTGAGAACACATGCAAAGGAACCAGGACTTCCTGTGGTTTCAAGCATGTATTGAGAGATCTTACAATATCTTACAAACAAGACTAATCTACTGCACTCTGATTGCTTAGACAACTATTCTT